AGAAGAAAAATTGAGATTAATTAATTAATTATATGAATTTATTATTTTAATCTCTCTCTCATGAGCTAAATTCTAAGGAATACAATTTTGTCAGTTAGGGTGAGCTTTGGAGGGCCACAAATCCTTACAATAGTGAAGAGTGTTTTTTTTGTTTTTGCCCCCAAGAACCAATTTTCATCCTTCTTAGGAGACTGGGCAATGTTTCATTCTGTTGTACACAGGGTCGCTATGACTCAGAGCCGACTGGACAGCACCAAACGACAATAACAACAGAAGTCCTATATTCCCTAAGGAGATAGATCATTGATAAAAATTATCCTGTGTTACACTGGATTGAATATCAGGTGTCTGAAGATTCATTCCACTATGTACTTGCCAGATTCCCTGTGTTGCAGATGCTGGTAGAGAAACAAATTACTCCTATATTGTGTTATTATCTGAAATGTGAGTAAGTATATAGCAGATGGAACACTTCATCTTTAGAATCAAATACCTGTTCTTAGCTATGGCTACTTTGTAATCTAGGGGCTCAGTATCTTAAATTTCAGAGCCTGAAGTGCATGTGGAAATTTTTACCCATCAAAGCAGATTTTAAACAAAACATACTGGGCTTTTAGCAGCATGAAGGATGTGTGATTCCAATGCTCATTCATATTATTCTTTTTGTTCAATATCCTGTCTTTTCCAGAGGCATAAGGTTTAAAAAAAAAAAAAAAAGTCTATACCTGTAGCTTCACTACTGACTGTCACAAAATACATGGAAATATACCATAAACTTAAAATTAGTCCTAAGGCAGAAGGTAAACAAAGATTTCTAATCTGGTAGTTGAGCACAACAATCTGAAGAGGATGCAAAAGTCAGTAAAGTTTCTCATGCTTTGAAACTTCATTTCATATAAGTTCTGATGTATTGTTGCTGTGTGCCATCAAGTTATTCTGACTCATAGTATTCCTGTATGACAGAGTTAAACAGGTTTCCTAGACTGTAATCTTTATAGGAGCTGATTGCCAAAATCCTTATAGGAGCTGACTGCCAAGCTTTTCTCCCACAGAGCAGCTGGTGAGTTCGAACCACCATCCTATTAATGGCTGACCACTTTAACCATGGCACCACCAGGCCTCCTAACTGTCTCACAGCGTTTTCTTGGCTGTAATCTTTACAAAAGCAGATCACCACATCTGTCTCCCATGGAACTACTGGGTGGGTTTGAATTGCCAACCTTTGATTAGCAGTCAAGTGCTTAACTGTTTGTGCCAACAACAGGACCCTTTTTAAGTTCTGACCAAACCAAAAAAACAAACTCACTGCCATCCAGTTGATTCTGACTCACAGCAACCCCCACTGGGATTCCAAGGTGGTAAATCTTTAGGGAAGTAGACTGCCCCATCTTCCTTCTGTGGAGCAGCTGGTGGGTTTGAACCGCCAAACTTCTAGTTAACAGTTAAATGCCTTAGGCACTACACCACCAGAGCTCTTTTTTTAAGTTCTGACAGCAGTGCTCAAAAAACATTTTCACTGCTTCAGATTTTAATTTGGAGCAGGAATGTTCTTGTGATGTAGTTAAAGGGAAAAGGAGAAAAATAACAAACAGGCTTCTCTTCAGTTACCAATAATGTTCAGTTACAAACTAATGCCGCTATAATTTAATGTAGAAAGCTTTTACAAAATAATTTTATTATTCATATAATCTAGAAAATAGTATATTTAAGCAATTTACAACTACATCACATATTATTCTGTGATTAAAATTGATGATAAATATTACCAAGGATTCTGTATGGTCTGGTATGAGAGGAGGTACATAGGGCTGTGATATCTGAGTTACCCCAGTGGGTGACACCAACCCTAATGACACCACTGTGTATGGTCACTACATGTTATGAATAAGCAGGGAGAAATTCTGATAGAGCTTAATTATACTAGAACACATTTTATGTATTTTCAGCTTCCTGAATTGAGACACTGATTCCATCATGGATGTAATTGGAACAACTCAATTGTCCTAGTAGATATGGGGGAATCAAAAGGTTCCACTCAGAATACCAACATAAGTCAAGAAAGCTTAAAATAATTTGAAACAGGACCCTAATAATGAGAAATGATTGAAAACTTTATATTTATCTTGAATAAATTGATTAGCAGAGTTAGGAAATGGCAGACATTTAAGAAATAACAATTAACAACCACTATCACAAAAGTGGGGAGCTCTGGTAGCATAGTGGCTAAGGCACTTGACTGCTCACCAGATGGCTGGCGGTTCAAACCCATCAGCCACTCCTCGGAAGGAAGGTTGGGCAATCCTACTTTCGTAGTGATACTGCCTCGGAAACCCAAGGAGGGGTCGCTATGAATCAGGGCTGACTCGACGGCACATAACAACAACAACATCACAAAAATGAAACTTAAAATTATTTATTTAAAAAATCTTTAATTGCCCTCCAATTTCCCAAAAAATCCATACTTTGCTGTTCCATGATCTTTCCCGTCCGTTTTTCTGGAGATGGGAGGAAAATCCTTTAAAAAAAAAAAAAAAGTGACTATTAATTTGTTCTAGGCCTTTTCACTGGATCTTACCTCTAATAGGAAACTCATTATTAGTGCAACATCAACAATAACAACCTTCCAAGTAATTCTAGGGCAATATGTTTGGTCTTTAAGAAAACCTATTACATATCCCACAGTATCTCATTAGAAATTACCTCTGGATTGATGGCAGCCATCTGCAGAGCTGTCATTGGAGGGTTCAGTGTTTACACTGAGCAGCTGGGTGACCAGAAAACTAAGCGAAGCCGGAGACCAGGTTTGTATAGGTTGCACAGCAATTTCATAAATAGAATTGACCAAAAACCGCTTGCCCAAAATTGTAGGAAACGTGGTCTACCCAGATTGATTATCTCTTGATGTGTGTTTACAATGCTAAAAGCGAGCAATTTAGCAGGGATACATTATATATAATTAATTTGGAGCAGGAATGTTCTTGTGATGTAGTTAAAGGGAAAAGGAGAAAAATAACAAACAGGCTTCTCCTCAGGATTGGAGGAAGAATCATTAACAACCTGAGATATGCA